TTCAGGAATTGTAGCCTCAGCTACAGCTTCAACTGTTCGTAAGCCTGCTTTGTATAAACATCTAGCTCGTGCAGCCTGTGAAAACATAAAACAAAGGTAAAACAATCAAAGAGCTGGCACGGTGCCCCTCGGCACCTTGAACGTACTGCAAACGTCCATTAGCGGCACTTCCTAGTGCCGAAACTTCAGTATTAAGGAACAAAGGTCGATGAACAAGCTTGGACAATATAAGAGCCACAAAAAAGCGTTTGTACACACGCAAGTTTTGATCCGCCTCGCTAGCCTTCTCACTACCTTTTATACTCCTTTTACGGCCCTGCATTGGTGCTCCATGAGACATGCGCATCAGGGATGCCTCGGTCACCCCAACTCTAGCAACTGCCTGTAAAATGCGAAAGCATTACAATGTCTATTTCTAGCTTTCGTCTATAAGATCGACATAGGACAATTCGACAAATCTTTGATAGTAAACTACCCAGTCCGGTTCAAGCTCCATGTGAATAGGAGTAACCTCAAATCTGACGCTAAAACAAAACTTTCACGGGCTTTAGCCAAAGACAACCTGCATCCGGATAATTAAAATTCGTCATTGCCAGCAAAAACGAGAGAGGACGTACCAAGCATTCTTCCAGGCTGAGTGAACTGCCAAACGCTGCTTTTCCTAATGGAGTCATTTGGTAGATCTGTAACTCCTGATCCCACACTATCAGTCGGCACAGCAAAGAATCTTGAGCAGACTTCACGACGTCATGAAAAGGTTGTATAGAGTTGAGAAATGTGCAGCGCACATAGCGGTTGACATCCTGTGCCCACCTCCAAAAGAGCTCTCATCATTCCATTCTTTTCCTCGGGGAGACATGACTGCAATGGTTGACAACCTTCTTTCAGAATGGGAAGCTCCTCACTTTTACAGATTAATATCTTCAAAACCAACATTCGGCAAATTTCAGAATACATAAACGGGAGAAGTCTTACACTCTCGCCATGCGTGTCTATCCCTGCTCTTCCTGCTCTCCCAGCCATTTGCCTGTATCTCGTCCCATCCAAAAAGTCCCGCCCAATTTTGGGAGTCCGAAAGATTACTCTTCGAGCTGGAAGATTTGTCGAGGTCGCCGTTAAATACACGAACGATTCCTTGTCTGTAGCAAGTTTCTACAACTTCTCTTTCCTCGGCCTGTAAGATCAAAGCAGAATATAGAGTGAAAACTTCAGACAGAATTATCGTGAAACCCGCATGTTGGTAGGCGACACCAACCGGCAGGGTATCCCCCAGAACGGGGTCCAAACCCGCGGGGCACTTACGCAATGCTTCAGCTGCTTCGGATCCATCTCTGTAGGTTGCTGCATTCGCTTGAGAAGACACTGAAAACTTTGGCAAATATTTTGCAACATGACAGGCAGTGGTTTCGCAGGCAAGACGACTTGAACAAAACAAAAGCACAGGATGGCCTTACTAAGCACCTAGACAACAACTGAAATCAGTAAGACCTATGAAAGGTCCTTGTCAAAAGACAAAAGTAACCCCATGGCACAGATGGACGATGTGATCTGGATCCTTGCCGCTAAGTTCAGAGCCTACTTTTAGAGCACAAACGGTATTCATACTAACATCGTAAATGACTTTAATGTGTTCGTCTAAAGGACCGGGCGAAAGTTAGTCTCATAAAATGCAGCCTGCAAATTATCATCATGGTCTGTAAGACTTGAAAAAGATTGCAATACCTGAAGCCATTGCACTTATTCTTATAATTTGCAAGCTCGTGGGGCCGTCGGGCTGCTGCTTTCATAGCCACCTTTACCGGCCGCATATTGTAGCTTAGTTCTAGCAAACAACCTCTCTCTTTATCCCCAACCTGCACCAGACTGTTACAAGAAAGATATTGGGATGTCAGTATACATACCATATGAAGCTCATCTATAACTACGACTGCTAGTTCAGACAGCCGCCCGTCCTCTACCAGCTTATTGATGAGTGAGTTATGTTCCAGTACCGCCTCTAAATGCTCTGTCTAGCAAAGTAAAAACCAGTTGACGTTTTGACAAAACAAAACCAAGCATACCTTCTCAGAACACAACGCGACATAGGTAAGACCAGCATTGCCATTTTCCCTGTCGCCAGCACTCTTTTTAACATCAAAATTCTGCTCTTTCCTGGACTGTCAAAAGTTTTAAGGATTACCATAAAAGAAAACTAAATAAGAAATCTCAAGCACCTTGTTGAGGCACAGTAAACAAGACTTTTACCATCCAAAACTCCTTCAAGGCGTAGACAATCAACCTGTAGTTTCTTGTAACTAGACACTAAAATCACAAACAGTTAGCTTACCTGCCATTGATACAGTCTTCTAACCCCTTTCCGAAAGTATCCTTCACATAATTCAGCCAGAAGCCAATCGGACAACTTCTCACCGGAGACTGAGGACGACGGATCGCTCACGATTGCCTTTCCTTCAGTGGGAGCTGCAGCAACTTCTTTGCCAACGTTGTCATGACTCGCAAAGTCGAAGCACACGACCGGTAGTGGAGAGTTCAATAACTTCGGGCCGTCAGGGTTGACACGCGACTTCACTTCCAAGCAGTCACCTTTCTTGCTCCCAAGGACGCGTATTGCCTCGTCCCAGAAGTTATCACCTGGTGATACATACTTGTTGTCGAGTAGCCAGTTCGGAGTGGGATCGCCACTATTTCCAGCGCTTGCATGAGGAGTGCATGGTAGCTTCTTCTCACTGTGCTGAAAGGGCGGTAATTTTCTGTCAGCCACTTCAACTGCTCGTTCCACTGAGAGGAATCGCCATCTCGTTTCTCAAAGCTTTGCTTTGGAGAGACGTCCATCTTCTCGCTCTTCTCTTGCAAAACATCTCTAGAGATAGCTGCTACCTTTTTTGTTGGGGAAACACCACTGAAACCAAACACAGGCATCAGCAAAAAAGAATGAAAGAAAAAAGATCATCGTCACTTACTGGAGACAGATCGCCAGGATTTCTTCTCGTTTGCTTTCTTGTCCCTCTAACAATGCACTGAAAGTAGTGATCTGGCTCAGCCCTAGATCCGTTGGAAGCATAAAAACTATGCTTAGTTTCAAATTTAAAAACTGGCGCGTTAAAGTTAGCGCTCGACTTCTACCAGTGATCGTTGCAAGAGCACGCTCCATCTTTGTAAGAATGGAAGCGGCTCGCGTCCCTGAAAACTATCGCCCGCTGGTCGATCCTGGAGATAAATCCAATCGCCCAGTGGCAATCGTCACAAACTAAGGATTGCTGTGCCTAAATGTATCGGCATCGAACTTGCAGGGCGTCACAGAGAATGGCAGACTCTTGCTTGGGTCTGCCAGATACCAGCTGAAAATTCTTTTTACATGTGCAATAACCGTAGTCAGCTCCTCACCTTAAACAGCAACCTAGGTTAAAAGAAGCGACTATATATAGCCGGGCATGTTACCACCTATTTCGACGCGATCGTGCGACATTGTGTCGCGGATCCTGTGAATAGAAACCGATAGTAGAATCGGGCGCTTGGATGACTTCGCTCACAGGTGGAATTCCAACTCGCATCTGTTCAATCCCTGCTGGCTCAGCTCACTGACGACTTCGATCCCAAGAACAGCGTTGCTTCCATGCGCAAGAACGGGACCCAATAACAGCAAAGCTCGGCCATTTTCTCCTCACCTCCACGTCCAGGTTGATGGAGCGGAAAACCACTTCGCTGTCGATCTCCTCTTGACCCATCTTGCAATGCCATGATCAACCCCTGGTGATCCTGCTCCTTGGCTATGAAGCAACGTTTGGATCGTTCACGTCCAGCATGAATTCGTGGCACAGCAGCGAGTCCGCGTCTCCTACCTCTCCTTTTCGTCTCCAGGATGCCTTGGATGATCGCCTTGGTGTTGGGGAGTGACGAAATGGAAGCAAAGGTCCTGGACGAGAGGCTCGCCTGCAGTTGAGAGGAGACGAAGGCGGGAGCCGTACGGAGTGTAATTAATTTGTAATTGTGACTTTTAAGGGAGGCAAACGGCGTTGACGATGAGATACAAATGTAAGTTTCAGGTCGCCAGATCGCCTGCTGCCAATGGTTTAGCGTTTAACATTCCACTTTTGATTTAGCTTGGTTTTGATTAATTTCCAGCAAGAGAATCTCTGGGATTTAGCTACAGCCATGGGTTTTGTGGCTTCTCAGCAAGCTGCTAGAATTTGTGGTAACCTCTAAAACTTTGCTAGAGAAATATAATTCAAATCCAGTTGTTCTTTGTTGCGTGTTCTGGGAGGGTCCATTACTCCAAAGAAGTTCCTGGCCGAACCCCAACTTAAGCATGCAATCACCACAACTTAAAGTTCTTCCTTCAGTCTCAAGCATCTAGACTCTAACAAGGTGAGTCGTTAAGTTTTAGGATCTATCAATGCTGCAGCTCCCATGTAACGGACATACAGCAGTCTCAATGATATGCTCTCATGGCATCTTCTTCATCCTCGGGTCCAATCCATATTTAAGAATTAGTCGTATTTCATTAGAATAAAAAATTGTGCACGTCACAAGCATTGGAAACATTCATCGTCTCCAATATAAATAATCACATCGTCTATCAAAAATCTCATTAGTTCATGGCTCTCTCAGTTATTCTATACTTTCTTCTAAGTTTAAGTGTCATGTATCTCTCAGGTTTAATTACTTTTTCTTATGTAAGCCCGTGTTTGAATTTATTTCCAGGGACGAGACACCCACATTGTCTATTTGGGGAATGTGGATAAATCGCTACATCTAGATGCTGTTACTAGCTCCCATCATGCACTCCTTCAAGGCGTTTTCGGAAGGTAAATTCAGCTGCTGTTACTAGCTCCCATCATGCACTCCTTCAAGGCGTTTTAGGAAGGTAAAGTTGAAAAGAGTATGAATTCATCCAAATTCGAGTGTGCCAGTGTCAAAGCTGCTAGAGAATCACTGGGTTTTAGCTACAGGCATGGATTCAGTGGCTTCTCGGCTTGACTAACAGAAGAACAAGCTGCTAGAATCTCTGGTAAACTCTCTTAGAAGTTTTAAAATTTTATCCACAATTGCAGGCCTCCCCAACGTGTTGTCCGTTTTTCCCAATGAAATCCACACGGTCCATACCACAAACTCATGGGAGTTTCTCGGCCTCTATTGGAAAGAACTCTTTCTTTGGTGCTAGCGAAGCTACTGAATCATCGTGGCTATGGAAGGAAGCAAAATATTGCAAAGACGTTATCATTGGTGTTTTAGATTCAGGTATTTCCCTCTTTGAACTATCTTTTGGGGATTGGTTCCATACCATGATCGGAAAAGCTTTCCGACTCTGGCCATAGTCCTGGAAAAAACCAACATGATAGAAAAAGGAGCGGAAAGGAACTTGGGAGCAATTCAACCCTTCTCACTGCAACAAGTAATTCAAGAATCACATAGTATGCTAAACATTTGTCTTTCAGGAAACTTATCGGTGCCAGATTCTTTTCCCACGGCCTACAAGATGGTCCCAAGGCTTATGCAAAAGCACACCAAGAACTTCTTTCTCCAAGAGATGTTGAAGGGCACCGATTCGTAAAAAACACAACTGGCTTGGCCACGCAAAAGGTACTGCAAAGGGTGGCGCTCCACGCCTCGCAATCTATAAGATGTGCTGGAGAAACATTACGGACAGCATAGTGCGGTGCCCGGGGTTCTCATACTCTCAGCGCCTTTGATATGGGAATCCACAATGGCGTGGATATCTTTTCTGCGTCGATCGATGGACAGCAGCCACTGTCGATTGGTGCGTTCCATGCCATGCAGAAAGGCATTGTGGTGGTGTCTTCGGCTGGAAATTTGGGTCCTCGCTCGGTGCAAAATGTAGCCCCTTGGGTTATCGCTGTTGGAGCGAGCACTATTGATCAAACCTATTTTGGAGACCTTTATCTTGGCAACAATAAATCATTTCGAGTATTTCTCGTTACTTATAAAGAACTATTTAAATTTAACTATCTTTGGTTTCTTTGACTAAGCAAAGAACGTTGGCTTGCCAACTTCCAACTTTTCAGCCAGGTAAAATTATTACTCTCTAGTTTGAGTTAAACAACTATTAATGCTGCAGCCAATTGTGTATGGGTTGGTCTTTGGATCCCGAGAAAGTCCAGGGCAAGATCGTGGCATGCTTGAGAGGGCCAATGCATCTAGCATTCCAATCATTCGAAGTTTCTCAAGCTGGTGGAGCTGGGATTATCTTTTGCAACTCCACTCTTGAATTTGATCAAAATCCAGAAAATGAGTTTCTTCTTTTGAAGAGTTGGACAAGCCATCTTCTCATATATCAAATCTACAAGGTAAAACTGTTATGTTCTGCTTTTCGTTTTTTTATCTTTGTGCCTGGCAGCTTTCCTGTAGCGGATATACAGCATCAGATAACATTGAGAAATCAAAGCGTGCTCCTTACATGGCACCTTTTTCATCCTCTGGTCCCAACATCATTGATCCAGACATACTAAAGGTTTGTCAATGTTTTCTCCCGGTTGTTTTTGAAGATTTTTTGTTCGTTCAGCCCGATATTACAGCTCCAGGAGTAAATATTCTAGCAGCATACACACAATTCAACAACTCTAAAATAGCATACATGCTTGCATCTGGAACTTCCATGTCTTGTCCTCATGTCACTGGGATTGTGCGCTACTAAAATCCTATCGTCCCACCTGGAGTCCAGCGGCACTCCTTTGATAATCTTGAAGAACCTATAAAGAATTCATCGCTAGTTCCTGGACACCCTTTGACTATGGTGGAGGGCACGTAAATCCAAATGCTGCTGCTATATGATGCAGATGACCAAGACTACATTGGATATCTCTGCGGTCTGGGAAACAAACAGACTGACCTTGAAATCCTCACGCAAACTTCCGACAATCCCATAGATCTCAACTATCCATCCATTTCCATCTCGGATTTGTGCCGCAGCAAACTCGTGCATAGGTGAGTGACGAACGTGGATGATCACGCAACGAACTACACGACCGGAGAGTGTGTCGGTGTCTGTTCATCAATCAGTTCTACGGTTCAAGCACAAGGGCGAGACTAAAGCATTCGAGGTGATATTTAGAGTGGGGGACGACTCAAACATTGATCATTTGTTTTTGGGAAGCTGATATGGAGCAATGGAAAGTATACAGTCACAAGCCCCATCGCAGTCGAGATGTGCTTGGGTAATCCAATGTTCTCAATTGCTCTAATTAAGAGATTAATTACGAGCATAGGCTTCTAAACACAAACTTTCCTTACCAACTATATATTTTACTAATGAATCCTTATCAACGGGAGCAAATCTTAGCAACAATTTTATTGCTAACTTGCAAATTCAAGCAATGTTCATGCTTCATAGCCATCTTATAAGATTGTGCAACATGTGGGGTGCTTTTGTGGTGTTCATGAACTTTACTGGTGGATCAATTAGAGTTGTAAGCTCAATCACATGGTGGTGTTGCAATTAATTTTCACACAATTTTAATAATTTTGGAAGAAGCATGAGACCACAATAACACAGATGCAAATTGAAAACTTATCACTCTTAGTCCTTTAATCTTCAATCTTGAGTACCCACATCCTTTTTGCCAATGCCAAAACTATTTTTGCTTGTCCAACTCACAAAGCATCATGCTGTAGGAATAATGATGAACACGACAAGCAGTCTGAATCGTGATCAGATCTCTGGTGATTTCTGATTTGATTGAAGTTGTATATATATACAGCCATAAATGAATCAATGTGTGTTGAAGTGAAATTCCGTTGTTCTTGCTCCGCTTTTCTTTCTTGGTATCGGAGCGCTGGTTTCTGAACTCTTTCTTCTCCTTTCTTTGTGCCTCACATCATGAGCTGCAGCAAAGTTGGATTGATCTTGCTTCAGGGAGTCACTGCCTTTGATGGGAGGAGAGGGTTCAACACTTGGTCCGAGAAAATGATGCGCGTGCTGCAGATGGAAGAACTCTGGGAAATCGTTTCACCACCAACAATCACTGCAGATGCTCGTATGCGGCGAGCCCCTGCTGCGTTGGGAGCTTCAACTTCAGTGGAAGGAGAAGTCGTGGATGAAGAGGCAATTCGTGCCTCTGTTGCAGCAGCTCGACAACAGCTTGATCCAGGGGAACAAGCTGCGCTGGAGAAGAAGGAATCTCGAGCAAAAGGATTGATTCTTTCTAAGCTTGCAGATGCCCTTATGATGCATTTGCATCATAAGTGTGCTTGTGAGATCTGGGCTCATCTCCACAACAAGTATGCTGTTCTTTCCCTCTCCAAGATTAGCATGGTCGAGACTTGCATTCGTGAGACCCGTTTTCATCCAGGCGAGAACTTTGAAGAGTTCCTCGCCAAGATGCAAGATCTGTGGATGGAGCTTGAAGGCAGTCCAGCAGCGTTCAACGAAAGCAAGAAAGTTCTGGCACTTTGCGAGGCCATGCAAGATTCTTCTTTTAGTTCTTTCGTCCCTACCGTTCGCATGATGTCGCTCAACTTTGAACAAGCTGAGCAAACTTTACGCTCGGAGCTGGCTGCGAGAGGTTTGATTGTGGACTTTGATCAGAGGCCTTCCCATGTTTTGATCTCACAGTCTACATCAAATGCTTCTGCATCAAGCAATCAGTCAGGGACTGATTCAGCTCTGTGGGCTGGAAATCATCGAGGCAGAGGAGGCCGCGGAAGAGGAGGACGAGGCAGAGGTCGCGGGTTTAGGGGAAATCCGCAGCAGCAGCAGAATTCAGGGAATTCTGGTAAAGAAGTAGTAGTTCGGGATTGTTTTGTGGGCAAGAACAAACAGGAATGCTGGACCTGTGGGATGCCAGGGCACTACTCCAAGGATTGCCCAGTTGCAGCTTGGCTGCAGCGCATGAACATAGGGCTTGTAGCAAATGCTCAGGAAGGGGAAACACAGGAACTTGCGGCATCATCTGAGGTAGCAGTTCCAAACGTTTCTGAAAAACTGACTATCGATTCAGGTTCAGAGAGACACCTGATGCAAAGCGGGTCGAACTTTGTGCAGTTGCGTGCTGCAAAAGGGAAGTGCATTCGTGTGGGAGATGGAAGCATTTTACCTGTTCGCGCAACTGGGGATGTGCGAGTTCCACTGGGAAGAAAGTCTCTGCTCTTGAAGAATGCGTGGTATGTTCCAAAGATAGTGAAGAATCTGGTTTCTGTAGCCAGGCTTACGGATGAAGGTCTGGATGTGAATTTCTCCAAACATCAATGTCAAGTTCTTGCAAATGGCCGTCCATTACTGCATTTTCCCAGATGTGGTAACCTGTTTGAGAAGGAGATAGCTTCTGGAGAAAAATCGAATGCTCCTGAGATATGCATGACTGCAGATAGTTCTCTCTGGCATTCTCGACTTGCACATGCCAATCCCCCTCTCATCAGGCGTATGCAGAAGCAAGAGCTTGTGGATGGCTTCAACGACCACGTTCTTCAAAGTTCAGCAAAATGTCACACTTGCATTCTTGGCAAGCAAACCCGTCGTACTTTCAAACCTGCTGTGACCAGAAGCACTCGTCCCTTGCAGCTCATTCACTCAGATGTTTGTGGACCCATGCGACTGTTTGCTCAGAATGGCACGAAGTATTTTGTGACATTTACAGATGATTTCTCCAGGCACACGGACGTCTTCTTTCTTCGTCACAAAGATGAAGTCTTTAGCAAATTCAAGCAATTCGTAGTAGAAGCCGAAGTGAAAACTGGTTAGAGGGTTGGTTGTTTACGTACTGATTCAGGAGGGGAATACGTCAACAAGTCCTTTCAGCAGTTCTGTGCTGAACGAGGAATTCTTCATCAGCGCTCTTGCTCTCATACCCCTCAACAGAATGGAGTCTCTGAGCGCAAGAATAGGACAATCATGAACGCAGTTCGGTGCTTCCTTCAAGAATCAGGACTACCAAAATTCCTCTGGGCTGAAGCAGTTGGATCAGCTATGCATGTTCAAAACCTTCTCCCTCATTCTCGCAATCCCAACAAGATCCCAGAAGAGCTTTGGACTGGTCAAAGACAATTGGTGGTGCATCTCAGGCATTTTGGTTGTTTAAGCTTTGCAAAAAGGGTGGATGAGCATCTTGGCAAGTTGGAGAGCAGAAGCAAGCTGGCCTTTCTTGTTGGATACGATTCCAATTCAAAAGGATATCGCCTGTACCAGCCTGGTAATCATCAAATCTTTGTAAGCACTGATGTTCGTTTTGATGAAGGAACACTCTACAAAGATCATGTTCAAGAAGAAGGAAGCTCAGATCAGAACATGAACTGGACTCCGGAAGAATGGAGTTGGGATGGTGTTGAAGACGGTGATGAAGATGACGATGATCTGACAATCATCTATCCCTCATCTCCTTTAGCAGATGATCATCCAACACTAGTCTCTGGATCTTTTCTTCCTGAAGAACAGGGCGATGCTACTCATCGTGCACGAACTGGAGAAGTCGACAGGCTCACACGTGATCTACCATTCAATGTGGAGAACTATGGGCAGACATCATCTGGACGATCAGGCAGAGCACCTCATCCCAAGAAATGGTCTTTTGCAGCAACAGAAATAGCTTCTGAACCAGTCAACTTTGAGCAGGCGATTCAAGCTCCTGATGCAGATAAGTGGATTTCAGCAATGCAAGATGAGTTGAATTCTCTTGATGAGAACCAGACTTATGACTTGGTGGAAGCTCCTGAAGGACGTGAAGTTGTTGGATCACGCTGGGTGTTCAAGCTTCACAGAAATCCTGATGGATCAGTACAGCGTTACAAAGCAAGACTTGTTGCTCAAGGATATTCACAAGTTCCTGGAGTGGATTTTGATGAGACGTTCTCACCAATTGTGAAGCAGACAAGTATCAGAATGCTTCTGTCTTTTACAGCGGAGTTTGGTTTGTGCGCACATCACATGGACGTAAAAACAGCCTTCCTTAATGGGAACTTGAAGGAGGAGATATTTATGCGGCAACCCCCAGGCTTTGAGCTTTTTGGATCACGGTGCTCCGAACTCGTCTGCAAGCTTCGCAAGGCTCTTTATGTCCTTAAGCAGGCTTCCCGTTAGTGGTATGAATGTTTGGATTCTTTTCTTATGGATCTCGGTATGCAGAGGTTGAACAGCGATGGAAATCTATATCTTCTTCAGCAGGGTGATCACTTTGTTGTGATAGCAGTTTATGTGGACGACTGTTTGATTGTCAGCAACAATCACACTGTTTTGAAGGATGTGAAGATCAAGCTTATGAACAGGTTTGTGATGAAGGACTTAGGAGCTGTGCGGCAGCTGTTAGGGATGGAAGTTGACAGGGATGAAGCAGACAGGACAATCACCCTCACACAGTGCCAATATGTGAAGAAGCTTCTCAACCAGTTCAACATGACAAGTTGCAAATCCGTGGCTACACCAGTCGTCACTGGCATCAAGTTCACAAGCAAGATGGATGATTTATTTGATCAGCCCTCGGTCTATCGATCGCTTGTTGGAGGACTACTCTACCTCGCCAACATGACTCGCCCTGACATCTCCTTTGCCGTTGGTCTCCTCAGCCGATACATGCAGTCTCCGAGTTGTTATCATTGGCAGATGGTGAAGAGAGTTTTGAGGTATTTGAAAGGAACAGCTGCTCATGGATTGGTTTACAAATGCTCAGGTCAATCCAAACTTGTTCTTCAAGCTTACTGCGATGCAGATTGGGCTGGCAACTTGGATACACGACATTCAACCTCCGGAATTTGCTGCATAATTGCTGGTGCTCCAGTTTCATGGGGAAGCAAGAAGCAAACAACGGTTGCTCTTTCCAGTGCAGAAGCAGAATACGTAGCTGCCAGTACAGCAGCAAGGGAGATCATCTGGCTTCGTCGATTACTTGGAGAACTCAATCAACAGCAATCAGATGCGACCATTCTGCATTGCGACAGCAGAAGTGCAATCGCCATGTCAAAGAATCCTGTGTTTCATGCTCGTACGAAACATATAGACGTGCAGCATCACTTCATTCGCGAACATGTAGCAGCCGGAGATCTTCACCTGGAATACGTTCCTTCACAGTATCAGTTGGCGGACCTTCTAACCAAGCCACTTTCGGAGCTCACATTCATCAAGCTGAGGAATCAACTTGGAGTGTCAAGCACACCCTCAGCTTGAAGGGGGAGTGTAGGAATAATGATGAACACGACAAGCAGTCCGAATCGTGATCAGATCTCTGGTGATTTCTGATTTGATTGAAGTTGTATATATATACAGCCATAAATGAATCAATGTGTGTTGAAGTGAAATTCCGTTGTTCTTGCTCCGCTTTTCTTTCTCATGCCATATCTGAGTATAAATATCAGAAGGCTAACCTGAAAGTTACCTTTGCATTATTGGCAAAAGTAGAGGGAGGTACAGCATTGTCTTGCAAAGGAAGTTTGCAGCTGGGTGGCGCTTACAGGATGGAGCTCACAGCACCCAGCATAAACCTTGACCTGAGCTTGGACAGCATGCAGCGTCGATGAGCGGCCCAAAAACAAGAGATCACACCCATGATGTTTGCGGCAGTAGATCTCCCATGGGCAGCACTCCAGGATGCGAGCTCGCATGAGCGGCACTCACAATGGAACTCGCAGCGCTCAGCAGCAGCAGCCCATGGGTCAAAACCTTAGTAGTGTCAAATGCGCAACAACTGAAATATTGCCACGAGAGGAGCCAGCGCCCAAAAGCAAGAGCTCGCAGCCGCTCCCAGAGACACGGGAACTCGCGCCAGCCTCAATGGGCGGCGCTCCAGCAGTGTGGTTGGACTGTACGGCACCCAGAGACAGTGCTTGCTGAGTGGTGCTCTAGCGCCCATGGGCAGAGCTCATGGGTGGAGCTCACAGCACCGTATGGATAAGCAAGGATGAGTCATATGTGTAAGTTTTGATGCGATCATGTTTTGCAAAGTAATTAAACTCTAGTAACCAATCAAACAACTCTAATGAGTTATAAATATGATTTAAATTAGTTTAAAGGGAATAAAATGGATTAAAAAATGTGAATTCATAGAATATAGAAAGGGAATACATATATCAATTAGCCCAAAAACCTTAGTTTATATATAGAAGTGAGTGGTCTAGATTGAAATTAATCTGACAGCTACCAAAATCCCACTATGCTAATATTAATATCTGGCATCATGAGTTTCCCATGTGGCTCCAAAGGATGGCATTACAGTGGTACAATGGTTTAAGCGCAGCCACTTATAGGGATTAGAGTGTTTTCCTAGACATTTTCAAACACATATTTGGATATGTTGGCGATTGTAATAATGCCTTCTAACAATTGCATTACTGACTCAAATGATCCTTGATGAAGACGATACAATTGTTGAAAAGTATCATCACAATCGTTAGTATGTCCAAATGCACATTTGAAAATATCTAGGAGAACACTCCAATCCCCATGAGTGGCTGTGCTCAAACTATTATACCACTGCAACACCATTCCTTGGAGATATGTAAGAAACTCATACAAACGTTAAACATCATCCCAAAAATGATATATGGCAATCACTATGAAGTGATCGAACCAATAGTACATATCATCCCTAAAATTTCTGTAAAAGAACTTTAGCTGAACACGAGGATTAGTGCCAAGAGCAAGAGTTATACCACATGCCATGAATGCTGCCATTAACTGAGTTTTGTTGTTCAATTGCAATCACATAGCATCAAGCAATTGCATCAACTACTGCTCCAGAGTCAAATGAGGAAATTGCTGATCTGCCATAAAGATGAATGAAAAGGAAAGATCAAAAGAAGAGAAATGAAAAAAAGTTAAAAGAAAAGGAAGATCTAAATAATGCAAAAATTAAATTTAAACCAAAATCCTAAAAGAAAAAAAACAAAAGAAAGGAAATGGAAAAAATTAGATCTAGACAATGCATATATGAGTGCATGAAATATAGAAAGAGAATACAGAAAATATCAATTAGCCGGAAAACCCTAGTTTATATACAAGAACGAGTGGTCTGGATTGAAATCAATCCAACAGCTGCTAAAATCCCAATACACTAATATTAGAATACACCATCATGACCTCACACTTGAATATTTTAAGTATCTTTTACATTTCTGTTTTCCTAGGGTTCTTTGAAACTATAGGTGATTTGGATAGTGTTAGAGCTTGATAAGGCTATGGATTTTCACTGGTTCCAGTTGCATGGCGACAATCTTTGGCATGTGCCTTCCTCTCTACAATGGGAAGCTCGAATCACTTGCTGCTTCGAGTTGGATCCAGCAAAGCTCTCCTTCCTAGTTATGGTGCCGAAATATGAATCAGACAACAAAGACGATGATGAGTACGATCTAAAATTCCATCCTCTCACACTCAATAGCACAACAGGCCTGTCTTGCTCGTCTCGTCACGGATGTCCTCCTCGTCAGTCTCGGATGCCAAGACCAAGCAGCACGCCGCTGTGATCCACGGCCCATCTCCGCAAGAAATCTCGCCGCTTGGCTGTCGAGATTGTCGCAGACTTGCATGGGTCTTCTTCTGGTGGAGTCGGTCCTGTGCCACCAGTTCATGTTCATGCTCCACAAAGAGCTTGGCGTCACTGGGTTCGTGCATAAGGTTTCCAGGGACAAGAAATTGAGTGAGCTCACCTGACACGAGCCTGAGCCCGAGGAGGAGGACTTTTACATCGACCGCCACCTTTCTCGTGAGCAAAGTGACGAGCTCTTGCGTGGGATTTTCGAGGTTACGGTGCCACACTCGTACCGATGGCTGCAGCTGGAGGAGATCGACGGGGGCATGAGAACTTTGCGAGTGCAGAGCGTGTGGAGGCGAGGACCAAAAGCTCGGCTGTTCTTGTTTGTAGGAAGTCTGGTGACGCTGTTCTTGGCATTGACGTCGTGAGCCATTTCAGCCAGTTGAGTTTGAGGAGGTGCGAAGTGGAGTTTTACTCGTGGGCGAGCTCGTCCAAGCTCCCTTTTGTGCAGTTCATCACTGATTTCAGAAGCGGGGCCGTGCTTTTCTACTGCACTTTCACGCAGGCGAGATCAATGTGCCGCGAGATGATGTCGGTCGGCACCATGATAAAGCTGCTACGGCTCTTTGGCACAACGTTGCCCGATTCGGAGTCGGAGCTGGAGTGGTGGCCGCTGGCGTGGAAACGTTTCTCGGAAATAGGTGAGATCTTTCAACTTTGTATACACTGGTGTTCTTAATACTTTTTGAGACCAAGGAACAAAGAGCATTCCAGTCTGCAAGCTGTGAAACCGCTTTGAAAAGAGAAACAGATTAAAGATTTTTACAGTCAAATAAAGTGGCACCATAGTGGCCACCGTTACTATGCTTCAGAGCACGATGAATGCTAGTACCACGCACGTCTTCAAGTACCTTACAGTCAATTTTCTATCAAAGCTTGTTTCTAGCATCTAGCATTGGCTGTTCTAACACTTTCAAGAAGGTGAATATCCACGCAGGAGCAACCAAAGTTTACACGAATCACTGTCAAGCTTAGGTCGACGTGAGAGATGTGGCTGAGGCACACATTCTCGTGCACGAGGGGCCTAGCCCTTGTGTTGAGCTCTTTCCGGACTATCCAATCTCGAGAAAGTGAGTGATTAAAAGACCAATGTCTAGCTTTGTTTTGACAATCCTGATCTTTTTTTGTTCTCTTTTGTATCTCCTTTGAATACTTGAACCAAGAAGCAGAGAATGAAAAGACATTGTCACGAACCCTTTTGTTAACAGTGACGGGTTTCCAGAGAGACGTATCTTGTTTTTTCATAGTTTTCTTTCATAGCTTTGGAATACAGGATGTGTTTCCGCTTATGGAGTTCCATCATATCAAGGTTTTTGTGGTGCTTAGAATTTATATGGTCTTCATTCTTACTCCAGTATCAGGAAATAGGATGAGGCTATGTTTATAAAGTTCTCTCTCGTATCTTGGTGAGTTGGCTTTTTACTTTCAATTGCCACAGGCTTGCTTAAAGTTTCCAGCTTCCAGGTTACCATGAAAACGTAGTGAGCTTGGTTCGAGAATGAATTTCTGTATATCCACATGGAGCTGTAGAACATTCACGAAGAAAACACTGACCGAGGTGACGTCTCAAGTAAGTATATTCTTTTCTTAGTTTCTCATGACTGCATGGCAGCTCTTATAAATGCACGGCCTCGTTCACGACGTGAAGCCCGACAACATCTACATCGACGAAGGCGTCTACAAGATTGGCGACTTTGGCCTCTGGCGAGGATGGCGACTCGAGATATCTCCACTATCAAGCCATCCACCAGCTCTTCTTCCAAGCTTGATCAACTCTCTGATGCATCCACAAATCGAGCTCTTTGAGAGGAAAAAAACTTCTTGGTCGCAGTAACACTAAATTAAACTTTATTGGCATGCAACCTGGATAAAACACCATGAAGTATCCAGTCGATCATATCCTTGCAATGGATAACAAGTGGTATCTGAACAAGTCCCTCAAGAAAGAGATATCCTCAGTGGAGTTTCCACCATGGTACCCGTAAAGTGTCAACCAAAGCTGGAAATTAAGTGCCTCCAAGTTACGTGGATTGAAAGCGCCTACAAGAAGAAGCTTGAAGAGGCTCAGCAATTCATCCAGCTCCCACTCTCACCAAGCTCTGGCTTTCAATGAGCTCGTAGTGGCTGCCGATCTTCAGGACTTCCAGGCTCTTCGATTGGAAACTGAGGGAGATGTCCAGTAAGAAGTGACTAACTTCGAAGGTGGAGTATCGAGGAAAATTTCATAAGTGCTCAAAATGGTGTCCTGCCATGTCCCAGCAAGGTGAAGCTCTTGAGGCTCCTGCTCGACACCGTGAGGCGGGCCCTGGACAGAACCTCAAAATCCTTGACGTTGAGCCGACATTCGCATTGGCCTCTGGTCAGGCGCCGAGGAGCGATTCACTAACATGAAGGCTGCTGTAGAATCCCCCGATAATGTGGAGGCTCTCGAGCATGCCCATGCAGGACACCAAGTCCAGAAAAGTGCCCCAGCAGAATCCCCAATCTACTCATACTTGACTGAATGTGCACACGCAAACCAGATACCTAGAGACATTTATTTGACATTTATTTGCTTCAAACATTTTACTTCCCTATAGAAACACCATTTGGTCCTGAATTGTTTTTGGCTCAAGCATTTTAACTTGAGGCAGCCTGCAGTGGAGCAAGGCAAAGATGATCCTTGTCCCCACAGAGAAGAAATGGTACCTATGGTAGAGCTCCTGCCAGCGCTTGCACACGAGAGTGCAGCACGTTGGGGTCGGCCAAATGAAAGCACGAAATCTAGTCACAAAGAGGAGGGTTAGGCTGTATTCTAATTTCTTTGTACAATTTGCCTTTTTTTCTTATTTAAATATGTGGTCAAAGGGTTTTAAGAGGGTATTAGGTAGGATGAAGAATTAGAGAGTAGGCATTGCGGAAAGGAATTACATGGAAGACTTTTTTGTGAATGTTTTTAGCTATAGAGAGTTTAAAATATAAAATTGTCTATATTAAACTATATACCAATTAAAAAACTTACAGGACATAGAAGGGGTCTTACACATGCTGAAATGTTCAACGGCTATGAAGGTGATGCAGTTGCCAAGTTTTGCTTGGCAAACATGCTCGCTACCATAGCCAAGAGTATTGCGGAAGGAGGCAAGAGTGCAAGAGAAGCTTTGGAGGAAGTGTTTACAGACATGGACGCACACTTGCTAGCTGCTGGGACTGATCGTGGCCTAGCGAAGACCAAGATGGAGTTTGAGGAAGAGATTGATTGGAACGATGGCGAGGAGGAGGAGGAGGAGAAAGAGGTTGGATTGGGCAGCACAGCGGTGGTGGCGCTCGTCTAGGCGCAGCAGAGGTCTCTGGTGGTAGCAAGCGTGGGGGACTCTCGCGCAATCTTGTCTGAAAAGGGGAGGGCGGTGGAGCTGGCTCGAGCTCATGAGCCCAAGGACCCCAAGGAGAGGTCCCGGATAGAGGCAGCGGGCGGGAAGATCATGCCCAATGGATCGCTTAGCGATGTGTTAGAATGGTGCACGCTTGCAATGTCACAACCCATTGGCAAGCTCAAGTGCTGCTTTAGACAAGCAGATCGTGATTGCTGTTCCGGAGGTTGTGGAGATGAGCTCACAAGCGACGACGATTTTCTGGTGTTGAGCTCGGATGGAATCTGGATGGAGGTGATTGTTGACTTTGTGGCGAGCTAGGTGAGAAAGGAAGTTGAATTGGAAGAAATATGCAAGGTTTGATCCAAAAGGTGGATGCCAATGACAACATGTCCATTGTCATCCTCAACCTTGCAAGAAGTGCTTATTACTAAGACAACCATCTGCTAAGGTCATTTGATAGATTAATTGAAATTGGTGATTTTTTCAAACATTGTAACTTTTATGGTGATAAAAACCATAAATTTTGCATGTGACAATGCTCAAGAAGTTAATTCCAGCAAAAAAATAATATTGCTCTTGTAAGTTAGATTTTGTCCATAAGATCAAAAAGTATCCTTTGTTCTTTTGACCCTTCAGTGATTTCCGGAAGAACCCTAATAAACACCCATCACTGCTGGAGCTGCTGCTCGTATTGGGGCGGCTGCGTCGTCGGCGGAGCCGCTTGGGCGGCGCTGCCAGCCACGGCAGAATCCGCATAGTACTCCTGCCGCTTCACATTGACCCCAAATTCCCTCAGCGCCGCGGCCAGATCGTCGCTGGTGAGCACAATCCGCCCGCCGTGCTTGGGATCCTTGGCGCTACCGCCCGAGGAGGGGGCCGCGGCGGCCGATTTGCTGCGGACCTTGCTGTGCTGGAGCGCGTCCGATGCTACCTCGGACACGAATTTCTGCGTCGCCACAGCCACCAGGCGCGTGAGGCGCGAGTCGTGCGCCTGGAATCCCCCCGCGGCCAAGTAGTACTCCACCAGCTCCTCCGGAATCGCGGGAATGTAGTCGTCCAGCGTCGCCAGGAAATCCACTAGCATCGCATCGTCCGCCATGGAAAACACTAAACCCCCTCCGCTCGAGCAGAATAAAATGTTTGGGTAATATTCCCCGCCATCTTGAAGTATATTCTGTCAACTCTTGCTGCAAGTATATTCTGTTAGAGTTTTGAAAGAACAGGAGATTCTGCGACAAATGCTATGAAAGGGATATTCCGTTTGCTTTAACTCTTAAAAAATATGTAGCAGCTTCATCGAGCGAATGAAGCCCTTAGTTGTGGCGTTTTGCTGGAGTTTCCCACCATTTCCAGCTCCACCTCTCCGTTTTCTCGCATTGCGTATTTCCAAGCCCACGATCGTGAGCTCTCTGGCAATCGCTCTAGTGTACAAGAAAATCCTGTAGAAGGAACTTCTAGAGTTTAGAGCTCTCGTATCTCAAAACTTTGGAGAGTTTTTACCTGTTGGTCCTGATGGTCTTACTCGCATCTTGTGTCCGTCTGGTACTTCAAAGACGTGGGAGCCCTGCAGCATTACAAGGTTCGTTCGTTTCTCGCTAAGAAAAAGATGAGGCTTGCCTTTATAACAACGTCCGAGGCATCGAACTCCGAGCAGCCTTTGAGGATGATCTTAAGAGACTCGTGGCGGCTCACTTTGTTCTGCCAGTACACGTTGGTGGAGCACTTCCAGTCGATTCCTTGGTTGGAAACTTGGACATTGTGGAAGCGACACCTCCCCAACCTGAAAAGCTTGCCTCAGTGATTGTTTGACATGACCGAGGAAAGCTTTTACCCCTCGCCGTAGTGAAGTATGCCATCCTTTACGGTTCCCATGATATTTTCCGCCTCTACCACCAAGCTACCACTTACCTGCAAGTAACAAAAGTTAAGTTATTCTTTGAAGCGTAAATTTGACAATGCTTACATCGACATTGGTCCATGAAAGTTCTGAGATTTCTAACTGCACCTCTGATCCTTTTCGGATGGACCCGCCATAAATCTGCGAGACAAGTCTTTTTAGTTTAGCCTCTGAGAGAGACAACAAGAAAGCAAGCAGTGTTACCTTTTGACGAAAGATGTTCCACAATGGGCCGATAGCTGGATGTAGAAGAGCAATGAATGGAGGGCCTGTGTCAATGTAGCATTGATTTGATTCCATCTGCATGTTCACAAGCGTGTTGAGAAGAACAGAAAGTCCTGTTTGTCTCACCTCGTCTATCGCCACTCCACAAGACGTCAGAAGGTCAAACGCATTCCTCGTAATATCAAGAAATGACCCGTCTGGCGTCTGTCCAGGAAAGAAGCATGATAACACTGCTTTAAGAAATACGAGTGTACCTGGTGGAGTGTTTGATCGTCGAGTTTCCTGCGCCTCTTTGCCGAAGATGTTACCTTTCTTCGTTGATTGTAAATAATAAAGGTGTCGAGATTATCTGATTAAAAGCAATGTAAAATCTTCAAATTAGACGTCGGATTGTTTCTACCGTGATCAATGGACGTCAATTGATGCTGATAATGGTTTTGGAGTGAGTCCGCAATGTTTTGCATTGTGCACTCGATTCTTCCTGCACGAATACTGTTCAAGAGAACTCTTAATAAACGTAGAGAGAAACCTCAATTCAAACCTTTGATCTACACCGTAGCTGTCCGTAAACGTAACAGGCTTCTTCAAGTTCATTATCATCCCAGGCAAAGAAGCACAGTCATTGCGTGATGCCACCTCTTCAACTGACTCAAGGTCCACGAAAAGAACATTTGTGTTTGCAGGAAACCTGGCTTGCATGCTGTAAAGGAAAGTCAAGTTAAAACCGATGCTGAGCAAAATTATACACATTTCTTGCCTGCCAGTTGAAACTGGGACATCTGCAATACCAAGCCTACTAAACTCGGTGTATTCGATGCATGTTGTGCCATATCTCCAGCGGCCATCTTCCGTTTTGCTCTCCATCAGCACGTTGACACCTTCGGCGGCACCAACTTTGCGGTCACAAGACGCAAAACCAAATTTCTGTTGACAAGCTTGCTTAACCTCCATATCGAAAACGAAAACGTAAAAGTACCTTGTTTTGATGCAAACCAACACCTGCCAAAGCTAGAAGAGTAACATCAGTAGCTGCAACTGGATTGCTGCACGGAATATATGGTCAAAATCTAAAAGAAACGCAAGATAGATACCTTATTTGACGTACCACAGCAGCTTTCCGGTTTTTGTCATAAAACCATTTGAATACTTCTGAATCTTTAGCCAACTTCCAAATGACTCCATGGCCGCCTGGCTTTAGCATCGGATCCAACGGACCTCTCACGACCCATTGCACGTTTTCTGCAGCTATTGTGGGCACCAATGGCTGAAATTTGTGTAGTGTGAATCTCTAGCACTAGACAAAAAGCTTTCTCACCTGTTCAAAGAGCTGAAAATTATCTCTTCCTCTGCCAAACCATCTGTGGCTTTCGAGTAAGTCTTTTACTCTCTCGTTATTCCGTTTTGCTGCACTCGTCATGATTGCAACCGGAGTGATCACCTGTGAGCCATATAGCTTAAAGTGGAAGAATTCTCGAGCCTGTAGGAACAGGAAGTGAATTAGCTCCACATCAATTCAAGGTAGGCTAGAACCTGTAAGTCCCGTATGAGACCTTCCAACAAAGTCCGACCACAATATGGTAGCATTGCCACAGGAAGGCTTTCACCAGTCACGTCGTCAACAAGTCCCAAGCGGTCACCAGCTCCACCTAGGGGATAAATTTCTCCAATTTCTGCCAAGCGCTGCAGCATAATATCGTCAAACCAAAACCTTCAAAAAACAAAAACAAGCGCTTACTTTCACGCCCCAGCCAGCTGCCTGAGTTGCAAAAGCTGTGTCTTTTGAAAGATCTTTTCCTTCCGGGACGTGATAAAATGACTGTTGAGCACTGCGTGTCGCCGAAAATCCAATCTCCCCAGTTTCGGACGAGCGTATCAGCTCCATCCCGGCCAACTGGTACCTAGACAGCAAAGTCATAGTTAGCCAGGAGAATCTTACGAGTTTCACCGTGACTTACCCAACAATGCCGCCTATACAATCGTAAAACCGCTCCAGAGAATCCAACACTCTCACAAAACTCTTGAGCTTCAGCAAAACCTCGCGCTCATCCGGCTCTCCACGCCGGCGTTTTCTCTGCAACTCTGCCGTGACGTCCAAACTCAATGGCCACTGTATCAACTCGGAGGACTTCGCATCTTCAAAGGACTCTATAAGCTGTGTCATAAGCTGGAGCGTTCCCATCAATACACTCTTCTCCGATCCATTCACGAAGCTCATACCACCCAGGCCATTGCAACCATTGAGAATTTTCCTGTGATCGTCGGCGACACCACCACCCTCGTCTCCCAAACCAAGGATATGTCCCTGCCCGATCGCCACAAGGCACTTAAGCAAGTAGAGCTCATAGTCCCCAAGCTTTCTCATCGCCACAGCCACCACCTCATTGCAAAGAGAGCCCTGTTGGAACGAGAACACTGCCTGGACGCGAGGAAGGCTCCCGACGAGAAGACATCTCTCCCTCAAGCTCTTACACGCCTTTAGCCTCGCCTTTAAATCCGTTAGCCTCTCCAGCTCCTCCTCCAGCCTCCAATTCTTGCGCGACAGTGAAGAAGAACCCTTGCCGCCGTTACACACGGCGTTCTTCTCCGAGATCGGCGAGAGCGTCCGGCATTTGGACACCAGCTTCCTGTGCGAGCGGAAATTTCTTGATCGCGATCCATCCCTGTCCAGAATCACACTCTCCGGCCGCGGCCGCAGCAAGAGAGAGGTCTCCAGCGATCCACAGAGCTCCGTGACGACCGCATTGCCGTGGAACGACCGCTTGGCTGATGTGAGAGCTTCCATACGGCCGCTGGAGAAGAATCAAGGTTTCAGTACCTGGAATTCTCTACAGAATTGCAATCTCATCCTCGAATGACGACTAGCGATAGAGCCGAGACCTACACCTGGAGAGGGGACTAAACCCTATGTTACGCTAACCTTGTTCGTTAGGGGATTCGTATATACCAGACATCCTTCCTCGCATATACCTTATCCGGATTAAGATGCAAACCCTTTATAAAGAAGAATGAATGTTTAGTTCTAAATAAATATTTAGATGTAAGAATTCAATTATCAACCGAGTTGGCAAAAAAATAATTTATAACTATATATTATTATTTTGTGTATTTTAAAGATTTTTAAAGATTTTATGAGTGAGAATTTCTAAAAATTTTGGAGTTTAAAAATGCTTAAGACCTGCTTATATTTTAACCCTTTTTTATCAAATAATAATAATATATATATTTACAAACTGGTGAAGTATCATAGTCAATATAAATAAGTAATATATCTAGTTTTAAAAAATACTAATTTTAAAATATAAAAGTTATTATTAATATTTTTAATGAAAATTTAAATTAGAAATAACTTAATTTTTTATTATTTGAATAAATATTTTTTAAATTTATTACTTATTATGTATTTTGTATTTTAACATCTTTAATTTTATATATATATATATATATATATATATATATATATATATATATATATATATATATATATATATATTACCCTAGCTAGGTAATTGTAGTGCATGTGATTATAGCATGAGATTTGGATATACTGTCACTGTGGATCTTTGAAACCTTGGGGGATAAATGAGGATAAAATAACCATTAAAGACTCTTTCATCAAGCAATTCCCTTTTTCTTGTTAGCTTAAGGGGAGAGAAATAAGGTGCGGTATAATAATAACTAATATAATACTATAACATATAGATTGTTCATTTGGGATTAAATCTAGTCTATCCATCCTTGTATATAAGCAAAGATTTAAACCCCAATTAATATATCTATTTTTATATCCTAGTCACTCACATTGGTGGAAAGAGGTATTACAATTTGTCCCTAAAAGTAAAGTTTTTTGACACTGTTTTGCTCTAGTGGTTAGGATCATGTTTTTTGTTCTTATTTCTTTATTATCTTTTAGATCTAGATATATTAGCTTTTTGCAAGATTTAGAACTCTAACTATCATTGTGCTTAGATCTACTCTTTTATGCCACACCATTATCAATTAAAAAGTATGTAACTTGAAATGTTATTTTGTTAGATTGAACTTTTGGTATTATGG